CCCAAAATCTCTGTAAATGTTCATTAAAATTAATGAAATTTAATAATTAAAAAAAAGAGTTTCAGTTAGATGCAAAAAAAAAAAAAAAACCAAACCAAAAAGTAAGCCAAGTAATAGTGATTATAATATGTATGTGCCATTTAGTAGTGCTGTCAGGTCTTTAGGTGACATTCATTGGGTGTGGGCTGAAGGGTTAGCTGGAAACAGAACGCACTTGTCAATTCATTCAGCATTTGTCAGTTGGCTTACTTTACTGGTCCTAAGGAAGACTTTTATAGGCGGTGCTGCCCCATTTACGGGATTTGGTGACTGTTTTTCAAAAGCTCTAAGAGGTTTACTTAGCAGTTTGGAGCTGGAGGAACACTAGAAAAGAAAGAATACTAGCTTGCTTTCTTTCACATTAAGTCCTAATGTACTATTTGATATTTATTATTATCAAGGTTGCCATGCCTTTATAATGTGGATGCATTAAGCGTACTTAAAAATCTGGCATAGTTTCCAGAGCAGATCTTCATTTTTTTTTTTCATTTTGTTGTCAAAATACAGGTTCTAGTCTAATTTCTCCTATTCACTGCTGCTTACCGATAATAGACACACCTTCCAGAATTAATGAGAAAATGGTACTATTATAACACTTGAGTGGTTATGTCTGCCTCAAAATAAATATAGATAAATTATTCTTGTTCAAATCTCAGGTTTGGTTGTTAGGTTGTGAACATTTACACATCAGTACACGTGGCCTTGTCAGCATTTGCAGATGTTTGTGCAAATGTGCACAGTGGTTCACAGATTAGACCAGCATCTCAAGATTTAATCTGTCAGCTGTCTTAACTCGCATTGATCTGTTTTCACAAGCATTTGAAGGCACATGACTATCTAATGACATTTTAGGAAAATCTTGGCTTATATTTTAAAATACTTTAATAATATTTCTGCATGCTGTTTTAGAAGGGCAAGTTGAAATATATTTGTTGTATGAATGTGGAAATATATGCACAGAAAGGTGAAATAATTTGTAGAGGGCAGATGAGAAGGTACAATCAAGAAATAAGATATATAAAAAATGAAGTAGGACATCCTGTTTCTCAGAAACCCGATAGAGGGTCAGCTCTGAGTCCGCTCCGACTTGGTGGCAATGAGTTCGTTTTGAGCTTTTTAAATTCTTCTATTAGAGCTGGTGGTGTATTCATCGCGTGTTGTGTTGCTAACCAGAATGCCACGCAACTCCAGCAGTTTGAACCCACTCTTGAGTCCCAGGGAGAAAGATGTGCAGTCTCTTCCTGTTGAGATTTACAACCTCAGAAACCCAATAGGGGGATTACCAACTGGAGTTGTCAGAACCAGCTGGATAGCAGTGAGTTTGCATTTGAGTGATTTTTCTGTTAAGGGAACCCTATAGTGGGTTAAAGAAACTTTGGTGGCCTCGTCTGTAGAAAGTTGTGCTGCTCACCCTAAGTCTGTGCTTCTCGTAAGGTTTGAATCCCAGAAGTTTCTTGGGAGAAAGATGAATCATCTCTTCCCACATGATTTTATAGCCTCTGAAAACCTGGTGAGGTGTCTGTGAGTTGGTTCCAACTTGATTGGTCATGAATTAAGTTTGTAATGGGTTATAAATTGAGTTGCTAACCAGAAAGTAGCTTCTCAAGAGGACAACAAGGGGGGCTGCTCCCATTAAGAATTACAGCCCCGGCACTGGAGGAAGGTCCACCACGAGTTGGAATTGACTTGGTGGCAGTGGATTTGACTTTTTTTTTTTTTAAATTTTAATTTATTATTTTTGTGTGAGTGTACCATCAAATCAGATCTGACTGGTACAGGAGGAGATTGTCCCTCCTTCCCCGGCAAAGCATCTGGTGGATTCGAACCGTGCATCTCTGGGATTGTAGTTGCAGCTCCTTATTACTAGGCCACCAGAGCTCCCCTTGGATTTGACTTTTGGTTTTAATCTGTTAAGAGCACTACTAGTACAGTGCCTAACGTGCTTGGCTAAAAAAAAAAAAATCAGTGCTTTGAACACACCAGCTACTCCTCAGAAGAAAAGTGTGCTTCCAACTTGGGCAATCCTATAGGTAAGATCTACTCTTATAGGGTTGCTATGAATTAGAATTGTCTCAGTGGCAGTGGGTTTGGATTTTCTGGTTTTTATTTTCTGCTACAGGCATCTGGTTGTATAGTGGTTGTATAGCTGACTACTTGTCAGCTGCTAAATGGAAGGTTGGCAGTTTGCTTCTGTAAATATTATAACCTCGGAAATCCAATGGGCCAGTTTTACTCTATTCTGTGAAGCCTGATCCTCCGGAGGGTTTTCAGAGGCAGTTAATAACTAGAGAGGAGACTGCCCATCCTTTTCCCACAATGCAAAGGAAGGCGGTTCAAATTCATCATGACAGAATGATGAGCAGTCTCCTCCCATGCAATTAACTGCCTATGTAAACCCCCTGGAGGATCAGCTATGGGTTAGTTCCAGCTCAACAGAACACAACAGCAACATAAGGAAACTGGAGGAAGCTCTGGGGTTTAGTCTGTAATGAATATATGGCTAACCCAGAGGCTGTGAGTCTGGCAGTTTGAATCCACAAGTGGTTCCTCCAGGGAGCTCTGGTGACCTAGTTGTAAGATGCTGCCCTGCTATCCCAAAGGAATGTGGTTTGAATCCCACCAGCTGCTTTGTGGGAGAAGGGTGGGCAGTCATCTCCCAAGTGATTTACTGCCTCTGAACCTGCTGGAGGGTCACCTATGGGTCAGTAAAAACAACAACAGCTGTTTTCTCCAGAGAAAGACGGACAGTCTCCTTCCATGGGATTTATAGCCGTGGAAACCCATAGACGGTTACTATGAGTTGGAACTGACTCATACTCACAGTGGTAAATAGGGTCACTGTGAGTTGGAATCTCAGCCGATACTTTAGGTATTTTGTTTGTTATTCCACTGCTATGAATTCCCTAGTCTGTCTGGAATTGGAGTTGTCAATGACCTTAGAGTGGGGGAGGAGCCTCACCTGAAAGGGAGACAGGAGCTTTGAGGT